CTTGCCCGGGTTGGGTTCGAAGGAACCCAGGCGCTGGGTTCCACGAAACCCAGCACGCTTGGGTTCTTCGAACCAGCTAGGTTCCAGGGAACCCAACCCTGGGTTCCGTCGAACCCTGGGTTTGTTTGCTCCAAGAAGAAGATGATGGCAAATTCGTAATTTTGGTGGATCCCACTTTTGTTGGGTTGGGCAAAGACATGACATGTCACGTTGCCATGTCATTATTATTGTTATTATTATTATTAAAAATAGTGCTTTTAAGGTAGATTAAATGGGCTCAGCTGGCCCAAAACAACATCACATGCCACTTTGCTTTGGCATTAATAACTGCCTGAAACTTCTTCCGTATCACATGCCATTTTCATTTTCATTAGTAACCACCAAAAACCTCTCCCCCAAGAAGATTCTCGCAAAGCATTCCACAGTCTACACCGCCCCAGTCTCTCTGTTTTGGCTTTTACCCTTTCATCAACACAATCACCGACTCTCTGTAGTAGCTCCCATGGCGGATTTACTCATACATTCAAGATCCTGCATTTAAACAGCCTCTCTCACAGATATTTTATTCGAATTCGTCAGTTTGATTTAGAACACAAAATTGGAAATCCGTCGATCGTTGTCTTTGATTGATGTTACCAAGTCTTGCCTCAATTCAATTAGGCAAGTGAGTTTGTTTTCAACCATTTGTGCCGCATCACAGTCCTTCCTAATGCAGCTTTAGGTAATCATTTGATTTTATTATTTGGAAATTGTTCATGACCTTTTTCTGAAATGTTAACCTCAGACTAATTTTGTTGAATCGAATGCCATACCATTGGTTTCTTGCAACAATAGTTCTCTTGATATTTCCTTTTCCTGATATTTGTTAAAAATTTTCTAGGATTGGATAGGAATAGCTCTCTAAGAAATAAAAGATGCTATGCTGTTTAAAGGACTATGGTCTGAGTTCTCTACTTTTAGCATTGATAAATACTTCAATTCGATTTGATAGCTCAACTTTAACTTCTTCCTCACTTTTCTTTTTTTTTTTTTGGCTTAGAATTAGAGCAAAGATCAATCAGAAGAGGCGGAAAGAACTGGAGCAATCATTTCTAACCATGTTTTATATATACATATATTGTATCACATGTATTTGACCCACAGTATCGTACACCTATTCTCCCATCAGCTCCCTTCCTCACTGCATTCCTCTTCCATAGGCTGGAGCAACGACTGGGGTCAAAAAAGATTGGAAGTGGAGGATGAAGCTCATTGGAAGAGGCTGTCAAAAAGCGTGGTGAAAGAGAGGATTTTGGGGACTTAGGGGGGCAGGCGGAATTGGATTTAGGAAGAATAAGGTGAGGGAGATAGTGATTTTATGAATTGGTAGTTCTAGGAAAACTACCCTGGCTACTGAGGTTTGCGGAGATAATGAAATTTGAATTAAGTTTTCAATTTTGCTTCTATTTCAATGTTTTAGTGGCGGCCAAGGGAAGTTAAGTTTAATTCTAAAGGAGAGGAAGAGGAATTCGAGGGGAGAGGTCAGAGGATCTTAATTTTCAGTAACCAGCTCTAATCTTATATTTTTCTTCCATCCAATTACAGTTTAGAAAAGAGAAATAGGGTGTTAGTTTGAAAGAGTAAGCAAGATGATGCTCCTCCTAAAGGAATGCATTTTATAATTCAAAAGGTAACCAAATTGAATTCAAAGGTGGGTTTTTGATTTGCTATCTAGGTTTGGAATTTCATTCATCAATCTATGTTCTTAATGGGGTCTTTTGCATTTCTTTCTTCTTCAAGAGTTGCAAATTTTAATCGAGGGGACTTGATGGTTTTTCCTCTTGGTTTTGCAAATTTTAATCTTTTAAGCTTTTCTTTGCAGATATACAGAATGGCTGGATCAGATGAGAGGGGTGATTGAACCTGTAGAAGCTCAAGGTAACTGAAAACAATTTGTTTAGTCTATCTTCTCATGTTTTTGCGCATGGCTGGATCGAAGAGCATTTAGGACCATTGATCAAAATATTGTCAGATTACCAACTTACCCTTCTTTGGTCAACAAGAGACCCCTATCTTCGTACTTTCTTAAAATTTAAGCTCCACTCTATCATCTTTCTTTTTTTGTTTACTACTTTTTAATCCTCAAATCTAATTTCAATTAACTAAATTCTATACTTTCTCATTGCAATATGCAAGAAGGTATGGAAGGAAATCCTGTAGCTGGCATTGTGAAAAATGTTTATTTTGTTCTTTCCGTTCTTCCAGTTCCAATTACCAGTACTTTCCCAAAGGTAATGTTATTTAGTTATTATATAGTATCTTTCTCAAATAGCGATTAGAGGTCATAAGGAATGGTAGCACCCAGTTCTTTTCCAACATAGTTGTTTAATTTTGTTAAAATATGAACTGTTTCTTTCAATAATCAAGCACTTATGTCATCTTCTCTCTCTGAGAATACATTAAATAAAAGAAAGATTAGTAAAAAGAGGTCTTTAAAAAATAAGATTAATTTGTAGAGAGATGGACTGTTGGTACAGGGGAGAGAATAATGATAAGAGTAGTGTTATATGTTGATTGGGATTGTTCTTTGGGATCATATTTGGGTTCCTTTTTCTTTTCTATTTTATGTGTTTAAAGTGCAAGAAATTTTTAAGAGCAAATCAAATTTTGCAGTATGAATTTGCTATTAACAAAGAAATGCCTTACAAATTTGAGTTGTGAATCTTTGGTTTCCCATTGTACAAGGATAAGTTCGTTATATAGTTTTTTCAGATTTAACTTATAAGAAGGGAATTGGGATTCAGAAGAAAATTTGTAATTGATTTTTGAATTCTGGTCTTCCACTTCTATTTGGTTGATTTATGTTGAGTAAGCAGTGATAGTAACAACTCTAGATTTTCAATTATAAGTTTTTGGTAGTGTTTGCTTACTCCATCTCTCTTAGCTTGAAGATGGCACTCTTCATCTTCATCGTCATACTTTCTATGTTGATTTAGTATGTGGAATTCAATTTGTGGAATGTATGATTGATAAAAGTTTGAATTTTTTTCTGCTATTTGTTTCAAATCAGTGTTCATTGCTTTTTTCTGTTGTTTTTCATTTTCTTTCCAAAGTTTGATAATTTTCTGTGTAATTATTATCATTTATGATGGGTGTTTGAAATGTTTGGTACGTTTTAACATTGGTGTTGTGGTGGACATTTGATTTAAGTTTTGATTGGTTTATGTTCCCTTTATTATGTTAAATGTAGATCCATTGATAGATTTTATATAAATTGTATCAAATTTTATATTGATCTGTGATTCTTTTCTTGAGTCTAATGATACTGCCATCTAGGTTGAGTTGGAATGTGTTTTTGAGATTGCCATGTGTATGGGGAAGTGATGGTGAGCTGTGTGATGTGGAACCTAATTCTGGAGAAAGTGATGGTGCATGAAGCAGAACAAAGTTCCCAATGAGTAGATATTGGTGCTAAAAGGGAAGAAAGTGAGGTAAAAGATTTGACAGTGATGAAAAAGAAAGATATGGTTGGGAGTAGTGACAAGCAAGAGACAAGAAGTAATCAAAAGTGGATTAAAGAGGTTTGAGAAGAACCATTATCCAAATAATGAAGATAAGGAGGTTGATCAAGCTAAAAGTCCCAGGTAATGGCTAGCCAAAATGGCCTCAAGTATAGTTCAATTGTTCCAAGCTTACATTTGGTTGAAATACATAAGATCTTTAGCAAAGAAATATTGGAATAGTTATTATTAAGATAATTAACTTTAATTTTATGAAGTTTTTCTAAGAACTCAAATATGTATAAGCATCCTCTTTACACTTAAAACAAGATAATTCAATCATTGTTACCTCTGTGAAGTGGGGTGATAACCAACTTGTTTCGTTATATTGTGGGTTCTCTATTCACCTATAGAAGTCACGCCATCAAATGAATAAAGTAAAATGAGTTTAAAGGCCAAGAATTCTGAAGTGCCACTCATTTTAAATGAACAAGTTGGGTTAGAATTATTGATTAAGTTGACTTTTGCCATATTTTGGGCGTCAATATTTCATATTTGTTAGATTGCTTCGCCCCATTCTAAAATCAACCATTTTACCAAATTTCTTTGTTAGACCAAATAGGTCTTTATAAAATTACTTCTGATTTTTCTAAATGTTTGTTTCCCCTTCCATACAAAAACTATGTAATATCATGACAAACAGAGTCATTACTTTTTGGTAAATTAATTTGCATGGTGATAACAATATAAAATTTAGAGGACAACAAATATAACCTCATAGGAAAAGCCTGCGCCTTCTCTAATCACATTTCTGAGTTCTCTAATGTTTTTTAGTCTCCTGGCAAGAAGTACCATGAGTCTTGAAATCCTTCCTACATCAAAAAGCATTGCAAGCAACATCCTTCTTTTTTTTTTTGGTGAAAAGAGAGAAAAACATTCATAAATAAAATAGAATTCCACAAAAATTTGGGAAACGCAGTCCCATTCATATCAGCATACAAGAACATCCCCAGGCCAAAAGGCCAGCATTTCAGATGATGACAGACAAAAGAAGGGGGGTTGTGACCCATATTCTCCAGGAAATCAGTAGACATGTTAACTTCCCTAAACACATGTCGAAGTTGAACATTTAAGACTAGTGCAAGCAACATCTTTCATTGGATATATAAACTTCAACACCCAAAAGAGTGCACCATTACAGATAGTGTTTTAGACATGAGGTATGGCATGACCATTAGATGCGAAAACGGATAATCAAAGAAGTTTAAAGAAACAGATTTAGTGTACAGACAGAATTAGGAGAATACTTCAGTGTGTGAATATCAAAGTACAAACAAACATCGAGAATTTTTTTTTCACCATATCTTCAGTAGAAGCTTTGTTCACCAAATCTTATATCAAAACCCAACCCATATAATTCTACTGCCATTGGGATCAAAATGGTAGATGATTGAAATGTAGCAGCCATTGTCGTGTAGTAAGTCTCTATAGCATAATCAAAGTGTAGAAAAGCAAAGTCTAGTTAGCTCCTTGATGTATCAGAGGAGTTGATAATCCTGCATGACGAATGGTAAAACTGCGTTCAAATGATTGAACTTTTCTATTAAGCTGATAAAATAAACTAATTTGTAAACAAAGCTATCATTTAGAGCACTTCACCTACCTCCTATTGAAGATGTTGCCATCCAGAACAAAATCTTGAGCCTCTAGCACAAAATTGCTCATCCTAAGTAGATGATATATGAAAGCAAGAAAGTACTAATCAGAC